GTGCCTTCGACATACCTACGAATTGCATTTAGCACACATCGCAAAAGCGCCTTTTCAAAGCATACAAATTCAACATAATCACGCTTCTTAAAAAAATTCAGTAGGTCAACAAAATAACATTCCTCATGTCCGGATGCAGGACCAAACCTCACCTCCGCTTCAATGTTTCATACACAAACATTCATTAAGGTTATTTGCAGTGCTTTTTAAGCATCGTCTGGAATGTTGTAGTACGTGCGTGCACCCTTCCATGCGTATTGCGAACCCTCGTTTATGGTAGACTGCTCTGGTTTTTACGGATCACGGCCACCAGAAATGCTAGAACCGTTTAAATTTTTCACTGATTACGGACAATGCGTGTCTCCGATGACATATTATTGTCACCTGAATTGCGCGTGTAAACACGATGACCATTCAACCAAAATTTCCGGTGAACAGTTGTTCTGCATATTTTACTACTCCTGTCTTCGTCACGGGTGTACCCTGGAAAGGCAGAGACCGAGCAAAATGCAAAGATAACGGCCTCAGTTTTAGAAACTGAGCTCCTAATGCGACCATCAGTTGGCATGCAGAAGGACCAGGCACGGCATGCGTAGGCGGAAAATTGGAATGACTTAGGATACTTGTGGCGGTATAGAAAATGCACTCTACGAAACTCTACAAATATATCAGGTAAAAATATGCTCAATTGGACATATGAAAATATGAAGGGTTGAGCTGAAATAATGCATCAACTGTGACTCTGGATGACCATGGTGTATTTGAGTGTCACTATCAAGAACCGGGCAAGACTGAAGTTATAATTAAAATTCAGTTGATGGCATGGACGCCCCATAAAAGCAGCTGACGTAATGGGTAAGTTGTGTACTTCCTAATGACCAAGTCTATCCACCTAATTATATAAGATTTGATAGACGCAGGAATGGTCAGCGGTTTTAGAAGCAATTAGTGGAAATTTATGGATCTATGAGGACTTTTGGCGAAAGCAATGGAAGTTTGACAAGCAAGTTGCACGCAAATTAACCTACTTCTTTTATTGCATAATGATCTCGGTCAGAAAAGAGCAAAAAAGTAGATTTAAGGGTAACCACCGTGTAGCTTGGCGCTGCAGGTCTCATTGTCGTACACTTCAGTGCCCTGAGAATATCCTTAAGATTTCCGCCGAGGCATCTTCCTATCCCAATATCAATTTCTTTGCCTGAAACTTGTCATGGCCTGGAGTGAGATACGACTGCGAATACAGGTTTGTCTCACGTCAAACACGGTTCTCAGGTTTTGCAAATATGACTGAATATACTCAAAAAGTAGAGGCATACAAAATGGGGAATTACGTACTTTTCCAACCACATACGTAACTGGCGTTCGCAGTTGTGTGGGATTATGTTTAAGGCTGACTAGTAGTAGACCACTTGCAACCCAACAAACGACACTACAAACGTCAGACTTGGAGGTGTGGTATCCACCGATGGCCATATTCTGCTTTACCATCAGCAGAGGTCCGGTGTCAGAAGTTTAATGTCGGTAAAATTGCTAAGGGGATTTAATATACTCTTCAACGAATATCGCCCTCGAAGAGAATAGGGATCATGACAAAACCCTGAAATTTATACGCGCTTACCAAGTTATGCTATGCAGGCGCTTCACCTTCAGGCTATTATTGCCCGATCACGTGACTAAAGCACTGTCCGCGCATGCACATTTTGGCCCAGCTCTTCTGACTTGACGAAGTATATTTACTTCCATGTACAGAATCCACTTAAACTACTGCCCTGACGCACACACGATACTGTGGCTGTCGGAAGTGGCGAGATTTATCACTGCGCAGTGCAAACTCCTGTGCGAATCAGTTTCTAGTGAAGCAAGCATGTCCAACATCTACCTCACTGACAATTTTAAACAATCCGTCTGCTCGCGCTGCACATAGCACTGAATCTAATTCTGTACGCATCATGCTTCGATGAC